CTGGTGTGGCTGCGATGAAGGATTTCTTGCGTCAGCTGGGAAAGGAACGATGATCCACATTCTGCAATAAAAGTTTCATGAGCACCGTGCCGGAGGACGATGGACTTCCAAAGCAGTCCCTGTAGGAGGAGCTTTCGTTTCGGCATGCTGCGTGAGGTAATATGTGGCGACGATTATCCAGCAGCTTCCCGACGTTGACAGCAGAAAAGGGCCAAGTAGATGCATTCAGATCTGCTGGAAAAAGTGCAGTTGACGGAGGAATTGGCTGCAGGAGACCAACCGGCCTCGTCAGATGTTTCTTGCGTCGCTGGCAATCGTGGAATGATCGTGTTTATAGGTGGACAGTTTTGTGGAGCTTGGGCCAGTAATATTTTTCACGAATACGGACCAGGCTTGTGCTGTAACCAAGCTGTCCGGACGTCGGGTTGTTTTGGCAGGCTTGAAAAAACTCCGCTCAAAAGTTGGTCGGCATTACCAGGAGCCATGGCGAGTTGTTGTCCCCGAAGTTCTTTTTGTAGAGTACTCCTTGTCGAATGGCGAAGGTTGGCAAGGCTTGTGAGGAAACGCGTGGCATGATCCTCCCGAGCCCTTCCACGCGCTCTATTAGTGAGCGCAGCTAAGGATCGTGTCGTTGACGCTGTGCCATATCGTCGCTGTTCACTGCGCCTGGGAAGCACTCGTCGTCATTGCCGTCGCTGCTGCCGGAAGGTGTTTCGAATGGGCTCAGAATAGGCAGTCGGCGTTGCTATGCTTGCGGCTTGACTTGTAGACCACAGTCATGTTGAACGCTTCTACTCGGAGTCTCCATCAAATGAGGCGCCGTGACAGATCCTTGAGGTGCGCAAGCTAGCAGAGCGAGTGGTGGTCCGTGGCTACGCGGAGCGGACTCCCATGCAAGTACGAACAAAACTTCGTGATTGCCGACACGACAGCAAGACATTTTGTTTAGTCGTGGAGTAAATTCTCCGCCTTAGAGAGTGTCTGATTTGCGTAGACGATGACTTGCTCGGTACCTTCTTGCACTTGAACCAATACCGCGCCAAGTCCTGCGTTACTTGCGCCCGTTTGAATCTCGGTTTCCGCACCGCGATCAAAATGTCCAAGAACAGGAGAAATCTGGAGTCGCCGCTTCAGTTCGTCGAATGCCTGCTGCTGCTACTCGGCCTTTTCGAACTTCACAGCATCCTTCGAGGGGGTTTGCGAGCGGTGAGCAAATTCTTGCGAAATCCCGAACGAAGCGCCGATAGTAGGCACGTAGTCCAAGGAACCTTAGTACTGCCTTCTTGTCTGTTGGTACTGGAAATGCTGCGACGGCGCGAGTCTTCTCAAGGACTGAGCGAACGCCTTCGTTACTAACCACGTGACCTAGGAACTTCAGTTCGTCATAGGCGAACCGACATTTTGGCAGCTTGAGGGTGAGTCCGGCGTTTTGTATGGCTTGGATAACTACTCGGAGTCGTAGCAAGTGCTCGTTGAAGTCGCCAGAAAATACTATGGCGTCGTCGACATAGACTAGACAGCTATGCCACTTCAGTCTTGCCAGCACGGTGTCCATGACATGCTGGAAAGTTGATAGCGCCGTGCATAGTCCGAATGGCATCATCTTGAACTCTTAGAGTCAATCTGCCTTGACGAAAGCTGTCTTCTCTCGGTCACGTTCGTCGACTTCCATCTTCCAGTAGCAACTCTTCAGGTCCATCGATGAAAAGTATCGAGAGTGTCGTAGCCAGTCTAAGGTGTCGTCGATTCAGCGGAGCGGATATGCGTCTTTTTTCGTCACCGTGTTCAGCAAACGGTAGTCCACGCATAACCTAAGCGTTCCGTCCTTCTCCTTAACCACTACTGCTGGAAAGACCCATGGACTGCTTGAAGGTTGAATAATGTCGTTGTTCAGCATCTCTTGAACTTTCACCGGAATCACTTCCCTTTCCTTTACGGAGTCTCTGAACGGCGATTGATGCACAGGGCGCGCGTCGTCCTCGGTGATGATGCGGTGCTTCGCAATGGCGGTTTGGTGGACCTTCGACAACGTCGCAAAAGAGTCGCGGTATTCGGCGAGGAGGTTAATCAGCTGCCATCATTTCGGGCCCGGAAGCTTAGGTTCATTGTCGAGCTCCGCTGGCGACGCACTCTCTTGCTGTAAGGAGAGGATTCGTTAGTGATCTCGGCGATTTCGGTGGAGTTCCGGAGTTCCTCGACGTGGTCAACGGCTCCACCTTTCATGAGGTGCTGCGCTTCTTTTTGGAAGTTCGTGACGAGAAAAAAGTGCGGCCATGCTGAAATTGAGCTACTCATCTTGCGACGCTTAGTCCTCTTCCCATGAGCAATTGAAGGTTTCCTTTCAGAACAATTTCACCTTGGGTAGCTGTTAAGACAACACTTAAACACGGCGGCAGGTTCACGTGGTCGGGAGCGACTCGGACGGCGGCTGACGCCATTTGGGGATTTTCTGAAGACGAAACAGGTACCCGCAGAGTCATCCTGTTTTCTCCAAGGTCGATGATGGCGTCGTTTTCACACAAAACGTCCATGCCGAGAATGACGTTTCTGTCACAGCCTTGTAGAACGACGAATTTCACAGGAAGCGGCTCGCCGTGAATTTCGATGCAAGCAGTGTACCTTCCGACAGGTGTAACGAGGTGTCCTCCTGCGGTTCGTATCTGCGGCCCATCCCACGGCGCCGTTACTTCTTGAGGGCAGCTAGGGTGCCTCCCACTCAAGACTGAGTAGTCTGCTCTTGTGTCCTCGAGGGCCGATGCGTTGTGGTTGTCGATAACAAGTTTAAGTTGTTGGGCACCGTTGCATAGGCGTTGTTGCAGTGCGTGGTGTCGGGCGAGGGGGAGCGCTCCGGCATTCGTGGAGGCTCTTTTTGTCGTCTGTCCACAATAACTTCACATCCGAGAGTTGCCGCGCTTAATTTTCCCTGCGAGAAATGGGCGACAGGCTCTCACCACAGGGTCGCTGCATCGACGAAGCTGGACCTCGTGGCGATAGCGATCGGGACAAACGGCGATGGGCAGGCGGGGGAGGCTGAGGTCGTCGAATTTTTTCTTCAATCTCCCGTAGTCGCTCACCTTAGCGTGCGCGTGGGTCGCTCGGATGGAAGCCGCGCAGCCCTATTTGCCGGTAGGAGCAACGGCGGTAGATATGCTAGGCTTCCCCGCGGTGGTAGCACAATGGACGCCGATCGGCTGTCCTCCACACGTCGGTTCTTCTTGGCGAAGTTTGTTCTGGGCGGAAGTGCGTCCGATATTCCTTGCGTCGGGAATACTGCGACGCTGGATGTTCACGTCGGGGAGGCACCATGTACGGACGGGTGGCTGGCGGTGCTTCTCGGACCATTGCGGCGTAGGTTAGCATCGATTCCTCGGGGGCTACCATGCTGATGAGAGACTCAGGCTGGATGGCTCTCTGGAATTCTTCGCGCACGAGCTCGGCGATGGAGAGCGAGGCAGGGCGTGCGGCAGGGGGCAGCAGCTTCTTCAGCTCCTTCTGGACGACCTCACGGATGATGTCACGGGTGCCGGGGAGGTTGGTACCAAGGTCGAATCCGAATGTCGCGAGAGTAATTTCGCCAGGGTGTCGCTGGTAGTGTCTGGGGCGTGTTAGTAGGGCCCATTCCATATTTGTCACCTCCATAACAAACTTGTCGACTGTTCTCGTTGGATCGCGTGTAAGACCGCCAAATATTTAGCTCTTCACACGCCTCATCACGTGGCGCAGCCTCTTCTCCTTTGGAGCCTCAGGGTCGGCGCGTGTACTCAGACGAGAAACATCCTCGACGAAGCTGGTGTTTTTCTGATTTGGTCCTTGGGTTTTTGATCGAAGGATGTCTTCGGCCCTCTCGCGTCGGTGATGGCTGGTAAACGTCTTCAGTTCTTGCTTGCACACCTCCCACGAAGTTAAGGAAGCCTCGTGGCTCTCCAGCCAGTACCTTGTAGTCCTTCCAGCGAGAGGTAGATATTCTACAAGCACTGCTCAGCTATCCACCCGTTATGGCGGACCACACGTTCATAGTGTTGGAGTGACTACTCGATGTCCTCGTGGATATCACCGGGGAAATGCGTAGGAGTCCTTCGTGCAACGGGCAGATATGTAACGGCAGAAGCCACGGGGTCTGCGACTGGCTGGCCATCATCGTCTTCTACGGCTTCGGCTTGTCCAGCAGCAAACCAAATTTAGGATCCTGTTCCTGGGTGCGGCGGCTAGTCCGAGTATAAGGTTCTTCGTAAAATGGTCTTCTCACCAGGCTTGAAATCGGACTTGCACTGCGGGCCCTTGAAGCGGTACGGTGCACGGACATGCGTTACCCCTTACCTCCACCAAAATGTCAGGAACGACGAGGCGACGAAACACAGAATAGCTGAGGAAACTGAAACGTTTAACGGGGCGAACTTGTGCCCAAAACAAAAAGGAAACAGAGGATAAGAACAGAGCGTCGCGGGCTTCGAAGTCTGCGTAACAGCAGGATCGAACGTTGGGGCGAGACTGACCCCGGAGCGCCACGCGGAGCACCTTTTTTTACCCGCGTGGGTTTCTGGAACATTCAGTGTAGAACGTTTGGCGCATAGTACATTTGCAAGTCGATCAGACGACAAGGTTCTCGAAATTACGAGAATGTCAAGTTGACAGATTAAATAAATGTGCCGTCCGGCTCACTGGAATCTAACCCGGACCCACCGCTTGATAGACCAGGCTCGGCAACGCGCGCCGCAGTATTAAGGCTGAACTCCATGGGACGAATATGCTGCAAATAACCGACGAACTTTGCTCGGCGGCTTTTGCTCTTCGCGTGGAATTAACACAGTGGCTGCTACATCGCGCGCAAAGTGAGTGTGCCGTCGGGCGGCGTTCGCCAGTTATTCGTCACATAATTCGTTCCATGGAGTTCAGCCTTTGGACTATAAGGCGCTCGTTTGGTGGTATTTATACGTTCGAAAGCTCTATTATTGCAGATTTGTTTATAGTTATACATATGTGTAACAATTATTAATTTTCACCTTCCACTGGATAACCACTTGATGAGGCGAAGCAGTTCCTCCTGTAAATAAATTGCAGTTTCAAAATGGTCATAAATCGAATGATCAAAAGAAATCCGGGCATTACAATCCTAGGAAAAATGCGTCCTACAAAATATGCCGGGTAATACTCAGCGTGCGACGTCGTCAGTCAAGCGTTCAGTCAGAAACACTATCAGATATTTTGTTCTCTTATCGGCTTAGCGATTCGCAACTTCACCACTAGGAGCGTGACGGCAGTAAATTGTCCTTAAAACATTGACAGCGACTTTAACAGAAACCCCGAGTAACCGTCATGATTTATACTATAAACTTCTTCAGGCTAAATACACTACAAGTTGCTTAACAAATACCTAGCAAATTCAACAAAAAATATATATTGCATGTGACGCTCAAAGGTGTCCGATATTTTGTTCTGAAAAAAAAAAGTCTTAATCTCCAAAAACTTTTATTATCATCGCTGCGGTTAAAGTGTATCCTGGTTTCTAGAAAGTAAGAAATTATCAGCAAGCTTATCTATAAAGTCCTAAAATGCATAGTATGAAGTTTTTAATGAGCGATCGTTTAAATAGGCACGGAAGGTATTAAACCGTTGTTTAAAGAATTGGAGAACACAAGGCCTAATAATTTTCCTACCAAATTTGTTGAGGAACTGCCACGTTACTGACATCTTGTGACCTGGTTACCTGCTCAACGTTACGTGATATGAGACACGTTGTATCAATTTCTCCGCTAAATTCGGCCAAGAAATTCACGTCATGGGATTCGAAGTACATTGATCTAATGTCACTGTGGCCTTACGTGATACAAATATGCAACCTGACATAATTTGCCGTTAGATCCTTGCTGAATGTAGATGGAAAAATGAAGTCACGTGATCTGACACTACACGACATGTTCAGATGAAATGACGCCACGGTATGAATTCGGAGCGTCAAATATTACCTTGACGCCCCGAAAATTCTATATTACCACTCATTTTTAGGGGGAGAACTGCACAGACTGACAAACGCAAGGGCGAACGTCTGGCATGAGGGATTTTATTAAAAAGCTTACTTCAATTTAAAAGGAAAAAGCAAAATACCTACGAACCCTGTTAGAAGTAACACGATGGCAGCTCCCCTTGGTAAAGGGTCTCCTTCAGCAGCTCTTTCCTCTAATTTGTCAAGGGTCACGCTTGAATCTAAAGTATTGCCCATTGCCACTTTAACCCAATCGTCCTCGTTCTGGCTCTATAATATTGTTAAAAATAAAAAAAGGATGTATGGATCCAGCCACCCGAAAACATCTGAGAAATGTACCTAAATTCTTACCTCCAAAATTTTCACTTCTCTTAGCATAAGTTTCACACTCACTTCTGGAATTTGCTCAAACCTCAAGTTCACCTGCACAAAGATTTAGTGAAAACGTGGGTTTGATTACAATTATTTTATAACTCCCACCCTTTCGTGATTAAACTCAAAAATGCCTATTTACACTGAGCGCTCGTCAACCTGCCTCAAAGCAGTTTTTTTTTTTTTAGAAGAAACAATACTTTAGAAAGATACGCAATAAGTTGATGAATGCGAAAAACAGCCATGACCAAACAATTCAATACCATCCTTTGTTCGCGTTGAAAGATTTGTTAATTTGCACAAGAAAGCTTTTGCGCAATGGTTCTTCTGCGGTACTAAACACTCTAGTACACACTATGTATTCTACTGGTAGACAAGTGAATAGTATACAAAAGCACCGTTAATGCTTGTCAGTACAGTTATTTGAGATCGGATAAATGCCGCTATGCATACATTACAATTTTGCTTATTGACACTTTATTTTTTTCAACGTTTGGTGTCATGTTAATTTCAAAATATTCGCGTATAATACACACCGCATTCATCGTTATTGCGACATATTCTAGAGATTCATTGTCGCTCGCACAGGATGCACGGTGAACAGTGTCCACAATTATTGACACCGGTAGAGTAATTTCGTTCGCGTGGGGCCAGGCTGCTGAGGAACAAGAAGGAAACCGATTAGTATATCTTGAATTGGAAATCATCTGAAAGAAAATCTTGTTTTAGGGGGCGAACACCATAAGGAGTGACAAAGTGAGGACTCTAAATTAAAGGCGACGTGTAATGATATCAGGGTGGAATGTTTTCTGCTTTACGCCTGCCTATTTGTACTTGCGTGAGCCAAGAATACTTGATCATTCTTTGCTGCTGCGTAATTTCAAGGATTCAAGAGGCCTGTTCATTTCAGTCTATTTTTCGCAAAACCTGTATAGTGACGATGATTACTTTTTGGAGCCGAAAGTCGTATGCGTCTTAATGGTAGGATACAAGCACTTCGCGAGCACTCGCCTCGGGCTTGCAAAAATCAACGCCTCGGCGATCATCCGGGTAGTTGCTGCGTTAGCGTGAACAGCCAAACCCTAACATCAAAATTGTACGCGTTGTAAAAAAGTAAGGAATTGCATCTACTCTTTTCCAAGACTACATTCTAACTAAAAGTGTCACTATTACTCTTTCATACAAGTAAGTGACCGCCACTTTAAAAAGTAATTCGTTACTTCTGCTGCGTTATATTTAATTTACGTCCTAGGGTAAATCAAAAGTAGAATGCTAATATAGAGTCCAAAACGCACGTGAATAGGGTTGGAGCTACGCATCACAACTCAGTGTTTTTCTTTTTTCTTATTTTTCTTCTAGCTAAATGTTATGTTCGTCAACCGCAACGCAGCTTCCCTTCATTGAGAGAGCCAATGAGCGTCAAGTCGGGAATCCACAACTCAAAATTATTAATAAGAAATAAAAACAAAGCTGACGTCGGGTAATATTTTTTTTATTATTAATTGATTTCACGAAACCTAAAAAACCCGAAAAGATCCTCGTCAGAAAACACAATCTACCGACAACGTGCCCCGATAACTGTAGAAAAACATCATCGATTTGATCAAGGTCGCACAAAGCTGACGAACGAAGAGGGTGTCAGGAAGGTGGGCAGCCTGGAACTTTCAGATCAATAGAAGAAAAACACCAAGAAATCAAATAAGCATTGGCAATTCAAATAGATGAGATGTGTTCGAATATAATTTGAGTAGCATGCTGTTACTGTCACATCGTTTTCTGCAAATTTCAGTTTTGAACTCCATTTCAGCCGAAGACGGAACGTTCGCTCCTGTTGCGACATTACAGTAACTGTCGTAGTAACTGAAACCTAAGATGACATTGTTAATTTTCTGGAGCTTTTGAAACGCACGAAATAGTTTGGTGTCCTCCACTTCGTGTCTTCGAAAGTAAAGAAAGAGTGAAGTTACAAAAAGAACAGGCGCGCACAGAACCGCTGTGCCAACTCGCGTGCATTTGGTACAGTTATTTTTTTATGCACTTATTTGAACTATGAGAGTCTTGTCTCATGTCTTTTGCACCCAGATTTCAATTCTTTATAGCTGTGTGCTTCCCACTTCGCTGAGGGCGAGCAAGCTGCAATTTGCAAACACCCAAACGATTAAAAAGTATTAAGTTATTACCTAAAAACACTGTAAATTGATTTTCACAGGACCCAACACACATATACAAAAAAGTGCATGCACTTTGCGTACAACATCTTAGTAGATTTTTCCCATAAATATGCTTATGGGTGGAACCAATTAAACTTGAAAAGAAAAAAAATCATTAAAAAACACTTAGTTCAAATACGCATGGATAACAATTTAGGCATAGCTAAGACACCCTAAATCATAATTGGTAATGTAAGAGCATCTAGTAAAATGAAGTGGCGGTGGTGTTCTTAGTAACACTATGGTAGAGCTGGTTCAATTCTGTGATGGCTAATGGAAAGAAAGAGTGCAGGAAACAGTCATTTTTGAAGGAATGTTCGGAGAATGTTCTACTATGTTTATGTCTACTGAGCCTAGTATCAGAAAATTATATATAACTAGACCTATCAATATTAAAATAATCTTGAAGTGGGAGGTAGGAGAACTTAAGCCTAAATCGTTTAGGTGTGTTAGCAGGGGTTAAGAAACCAGCTTTTTTTTGGAAGCTTGGTAGGAGATGGCATGGGCCTGTTTCTACTCCAGATAACTTTTATCGCTTTATGCTGTATACTTTCAAGTTCAGTAATGAGGGTTTTTGTGTGAAGAAACCAGATTATATTAGCGTATTCTAGTGTAAGCCTAACTACGCTTGTGTAAGACAGAGTTTCTGTGACTGTGGTTGCTAGTTTAGGTGCTTTCTCTAAGCATATGCATAATTTTTTTAATGCTCCTGGAGTTACATAGTTAACATGAGTATCCTCATGATGGCAAACTCCCAAAGTAAAATAAATAATGAATAGAGGTGTTATGCAACATTTAAAGTCTTTGAGTATCTGAAGACTGTCAGGCCCTGCGTTTGGAAGTACAGGTGACAATATGAATCCAAGAAGGCTAATCTTAAACACACAAAATAAAGTATTTCTAAAAGTTTCGCTTGATGATTTTAATTCCCGCTTTTCTCCTTCGCGAACAAAAACGAAAACGTAACGAATCGCACTTTTCTTACCTAAAAAGTAAGAAAACGACTTAACAATAACTTTGAAAAATAAGTAACTATTTCCTTACAAAATTACGGATAAATAGAAAGGATTACAGATCATTTTGTTACCTGTAACGAATAGACCGATGTTACCTCCAGTTTCCATTCGCCAACACTGCCGCCACGTATGGTGAATTATAGCCTCCTCTATACTGACAGAGCGTGGCAGATCGCCACGAGAAGCGCCCGCCGAAATCGAAAAGGTAGAGCGGCAGACAACGGATGAGAGAAGAGCCAGGTGACGGGCGCCCCGCTGCGGCGAGACGCCGAAACACTCTTCTTCCGAGCGAAGTAATGTCCGCTCGTGCTCCTCGCGTTCTTCGCGCCACCGTTTCTTTTCTTTTCGGGTTTGAAAACCATGTTTCGGGTCCTCGCCGCTGCAAAAGCTCTGCGCTGACGTACAGGTTCCCCCAGAAATGCTCTGTGGTACCAGGTCCTCGCGCTCCAAATCTGCGACCGAGCACTCTATGGCTCCATCGTAGAACTGCCAGGCTTTGTGAGTATAGAGGAGGCTATGGTGAGATCTGTAGTGTAGCCTCCTCTCTACTCACAAAGCCTGGAAGTTTGATGACGGAGCCGTAGAGTGCCCGGTCGCAGGTTTGGAGCGCGGGGATCTGGTAGCACAGAGCATATCTCGAGGAACCTGGTCGTCAGAGCACAGCTTTTGTAGCGGGGCGCCCGACACGGTGTTTCTCCTGTCATCCATTGTCTGCCGCTCTGCCTTTTAAATTTCAGCGGCCGCGTCTCGTGGCGATCTGCCAGGCTTTGTCGGTAGAAAGGAGGCCATGTCTGTAGTCATTCTACACGGGCGAAAACCACGCTGACGGTTTTGCACGGCAGGGCGTGAGGCGGCACGAGCTGTCTCGGGCACTGGCGCTTGCCTCCTATGAACTGCAGTTATGGTCGCTTCACGCAACATTGAAACCCTCAGTTAGATTAGCCTATTATGTACAAGTCTTCCTAACATAGTCTGGAGCTTAGCACGTGCGCCGAGCTTTGTCAGCCCCAGCACGTGGCCGCTTCCTCTTTCAGAAAGCTGAAAAAATTAAAGCTGCCTAGTTTTGTTTTTAAGTTATTAATGTTTTGCGGGGATAACAAGCTACGCGTGCTTCGTACGTTAAGAACATCGAGATTTATTTCTTATGAACATTTACGAAAAAGTATAAACAAACCTTGCACAGTCCCTCTAAGGTCCAAATAAGCTTATAAAGGCATCGTGCATCGCTGAATATGTTTCGTAAATTACAGTGAACGGGTGAACGCGTTTTTGTCGAAATATTAGACACATTAGATTTTTTTGTTTTTCATATTTAGTCTTCTCACTTAGCTAATTTTCATTAGCTCTTTCATATTTTAAACAATTGTTAATTCTACTTACACCTTTCTTCCAAGATGGCTTGTTTTGGGGCTGCTATCTTTCCTGCGTAAACAAAGAGCCGCTCATTCTGGTTCATAATTTTTAATTAGAGTTTAGATTACAGTTATATTTACTCGAAGCATGTCGATGAACCGCCCTTGGTATTTCCCGAATGCTGTGAGCCACACGGCCGCTTCCACTTTGTTTCAGCATATTCTCAGGCTGAATACTGTGAGATGTATTTAAAATTCCCTTCTAAAACGGAAAACAAAACAAAAATTATTCGGTGAGTGCGCCTGCTGAGTTAGCACAAAAAAAATGTAAAACGGCCAAAACACATTCAAATGTTTTTTTGTTTTGTTTTTTTTGCGGCTAGTTTAAAGGAGGACATGCTGCATATTAACCTAGCGTGCCCTTCTCTTTTAACGAGCAAAGAGTTTACTCAGGTACTTACCCCGTTTTGGAGCGAGTACAAAACGTTTGTCTGCGGCTAAAGCGCAGCATTCTTCAAAGGGCCAAATGCAGATTTACCCCGACTTTTGAACGCTAAAAAGCGTCTACATGTAACCATAAAAACGTAATAGGCGTTCGACAAAAAAAAGTATGTAGCGCTAGTTTTGGAAGTTCTGGTTGTCAACGGCCAAAGGCCTCTAGTCGAGCTTGCCAAGGATGCAACACGAAGCTGCCTTAAGCACCAGGGAAGCAGCAAGAGAAGAAAAAAAGCGTTTACATAGGTGACCCGTCATCGTGCAGTGAGATAAATCGCAAACGGTAATATTTTTCCGGTCGCAAATTAATTCCCGACGGCTTTTATTTTTTCAGCGTCTATGTAAGCCAACGCTTTTAAAGGGATACTTCAACGAAATTTGAAATATTCCCGGCGTGTTCAAAAATAGGTTGAATATGATCCACAATATCCGTAAATGACAATCGCACGTTAGTATTTTGAGCCTGGTGGCTGTATTTTTTTTATAAACGGCCCACTCTGGCAAGCGCTCGGAGAAGGCCCAGCGGAGACCACGTGACATCCAACGCAATCGTGACGTAGGTCGGGAGCAAAGCTACGGCGAGGATTACGTCGAGAGGATGGCCTAGTCGTTCCAGCCACCGAAGCAGCTGCTTTTGTACGAATTTGGAGTGACGGGTTAATATTCTGTAATCTTATAGGGGGACAATAGCGACTTCTGCGACACACAAAAGGCATTCTCGGGAAGAGAGGAGTTCCTCCGGCCCCTCTTCTCTCGTCGTGGCCGGAGGCGAGACAACCTCCGTCACTAGCTGTCAAAGTTCCTAGACGGGCATTACAAGCGAGGCGTTAGCGACATCCACCAGGTGTTCTTTGCTAATCGTTTAATTCGTTTTAAAATTTCTTTTCGTGACTTCTTTAACAAGATATTGGTATGTTCGATGTGATGCTGCTCCTTTGAACACATATAGACAAAACAATGAGCGCCGAACTTTCGTTGTAGTATCCCATTAAGCAACTTGAGACGAACCACCAGAATCGGTTCATCAAATTGTCGCTCTGCGATTTACTACAAAATCGCAAACAGGTGGTTAAAGTTTATTGTAAAAAAGTATAAAACAGGATGAGCTTTTCCTTGTTCAACAGAAGAAAGATATCGTAAGGCGAATTTGCTGCGCAATGATGTTGCATGTTTATATACTATATATGTGAAACGTTCCACGGCCACAAATGATTAGCGATACTCTCAGAAAGCTATTCATCAGATAGATTAACGCCTGCTCTGCGTACACTTGATAGCTGTCCTCCGACTTTCACGCGTGCGTCATAGAATATGCTTTCCGCATTTGTCTGTTGAGAGAAGCTGCACCTCGTGGATGTACCACCAACATGCAATCGGTGTCACGCAATGTAAGTTCCCCCTAAATTTGACGGCGAGGCTGAATTGGTGTCTAGGCCACGTGACAGCAGGTCACGTGACATCACTTTTTCTCTAAATCTAGCGGGAAGACTGAATTGGCGTTGACGTTACGTGAAGTCAATTTTCCGACTAATCTAGCGGGGAAGCTGAATTTGTTTATAGGTAACGTGACTATGCCAAGACTTCATGTCACGTGACCCCTAAACAAGTTCACTTTTCTAGCTAAATTTAGCAGAAAATTGACACAACGTAAAATGAAGTCATGTGACGTCTCAGGTTCCAGCTTCACAAAATCCGTCTACAAGAAACCATCCTTCACTTAATCCGGTTCCTCTGAATCTGGCTTCACTTAATTCGTTTCCAAAAATCCCGGAGCAACTAGCCGAAAAAAACGTTTCACGTTAAAAGGATCAGAAACCAGCTCTGGCTAATCTACGCCGCCGCTTCGCGGACAACACTCGCGCAGTGAAAAGTGAATCCGGACAGATGGCGCATGCAGCTTCTTGAGAGCGCCAGCCGTTTCGGGTTGTGACTGCAGACGATCCCGCTAAAAGAAACCGAATCGGCCGATGCTCCCTCGACGCGGCGTATGTTGGAGGCACATCTCACCTAGCGTGTATCGTCTGCCAAGTAGGGGCGTAGCTTGCCCAGAAGAGGTTTCTGTATTTAATGCGTTAGCATTAGTGCCCTGGTACATGTGCTGACCTTGGACTGGTTTATACTCCTTTGTCTGACCAATGTTCTCAACACCGTCACGGGATGGCGCAACAGCCGCGCCGGCTATGAAAAGTGCCTCGGGAACACCTTGTGAAAGCGCCGACTGATAGAGGGCATAGTGCGGGTGCGGGAGAGCTATGTATTGAAGAGTCTGGACATCAATTGGGCCATTGCTGACCTCTCCCCGTACCTTCGCTACTCCCAGACTCCTCCCACAAAACTGACGTCACACCTAGCAACCACCTAGCAACGGAAAACGGCGGGGAACGGCGCGGGCCTGTACACTATTACCGATCCCAGGTTAAGACGCGTGCATGCAGGGCCGCGTGGTATCCGGCGTACAGACCCTCATTTTTAGGTTTTCTGGTGACAAAATGGTCGGTTGTTGTGTGGTTGGATGTTTCACTTACAGCCGTCATGGTTTTTGTTTTATATTTTATAATATTAAAAGAAATAAAACACTGTCGCAAAATATGGTTGAACAAAATCAAGAGCAATAATTGTGGACGCCCACGGAAGTTTCTCTTCTTTTTAAAATAAGAATGCTTGTTTCAACTTAAAACGTTTTATAAAATGGAGTTTTCATCCTAGTAGCCACAAAAACTAGCGAACTAGTTGGTACAGAAAGCTCGCATCTAATGTGTAATGTGAACTATTGCATCACGGGACGGGCAAGTTCCATCTGTGACGCGTTTCTTCCTGTCTACTTCTTCAAACCTCGAAGATAATGAATTAGTTTTATTTTATGCCATCTAGAAAATGTGATTATCCCACAAAAGGCTAATTTTATCTTCCATTTATTTTTATGTAATGATATATCCATGGATGCGGTAATCTCAGAACCGTTATGAAAGGTCAATCTATTGAATTACGTTGAATCAATCTATGAAAACGAGCAAGCCTAACGTTTGCAAAGTGCCGCCTGGCGCTGAGTCGCTCGATGTTTTTTTCGTAACCTTTCGTTATAAAATAGGCGGCTCTCACGTTACGAAAAAGGTTGGTGCCGGCGCCGTTCCTAATGCCAGCAAACTTGCACAACCTTCATATATTTTATTTATTTTTGTGCAACCTTTTGGCTTCCTAGATGTTCGGTGAACTAGATCGCTGTTTCATTGCAGAGACAGTTCGAGGGAGTCACGCGATAAGCATGCACGGCGTGGAAAATCCAAATCAGAGATAACAACCGTTTCGATCAAATTATGTCGTTTGACACGCTGACGTATAGACAAGAAAATGTGCAATTAGGAACAAACAAAACTCTGGAAAACTCTCGAACAAAGTGCTTTACTTGCATTACAATCTAACAGATAATTTGCTTCGAAAACATGGGCAACAATGACATCTTCGTATACGCTAGCACTTTACGGAAAGTCCCTCAGTTGCTAATTAGAAGTTCTTATCTTTGCACACCGCTAAAATACCAAGAGGCGTCAACTAGACTTGAAGATTGCGAAATTCACACGAGCGTATTTTGCGCTACTCGCCGAACGTCAGCGAAGCGCATGAACGAACTGTTCACGCGGCGCGTCCGGAGGGAGAACAGACCGGAAACTAACTTATATGGCTCTTGAATAAACACAACAGGTCCTAAATACTGCTAGCGGATCACTTAAAACACAGTAAAACATTCATACGTAGGAGGAAACCAAAAGAAAAACCTTCGGGCATGGGTCCCCGGCGTCTGAAACTCCGAAATAGCGAAATGAGCGTGGCCTTGGCGTTCGCGTGGCGTGTCAGTGACGTGGTTGACGAGCTGCCAACGAGGCAACGCAAGCTGACCAAACTCTCCTTTATATATGGCTCTGGGGTGCGCTAGAGTCCCTGTATACATCTTTCCAAAAAAAAAAAACGCTCCTAGGCCGCCGCCATGTTGCTGATGCTGATGCGGCTGGTGCGAATCTTTCACCCGCTATCAACTAGAAGTTTTCTGCCACACACTTGGAATCTGAAAATCCGTTGAGCACAAGAGGAATTTCGGGAATGTTCACTCCGCAAGAAAATGATGATCAGAGGCTGGATTCAGCATGGTTTGTTACATATAAGCGCTGCGCGAAATGCTAACGGATTTCTTCGATGGCCACAGTAGCCGCAGCACAGATTTTGTTTTCTTCTTTTGGACAAGTTAAATTTATTCCTTGATTCTTTAACTGTAAACTTCCAGCACTTGCTCGCACCTGTGTAGTAAATTGCAACGCGATACGCTGAAAAACCGATTTTCGCGTGCCATCTAAAATGCCTTAAAAGCGTTGGTTTACGTACTGTACGTTGGAGTTCGGTGCGCTTACCACAACAACACCGTGCGTTGTTTCATCAATAAGAAGAGTAGCCTTGTGCTGACGGTTTTGGTACAGTCTGTCCCGGATGAATCCACTGTCAACCTGAAGATGCAATTTTTTTGACCGTCTTGAATACGCAATTGTGTTCTGCACCATGTTTTGGTGCAGAAAGAACGAAATGACAGACAAGAAACTTAGATTGCTTACAGCCTTTCTTATTCTTTGGGTACCGTCCATCACGTCCACTATAACTTCGTCTCCGAAAATTGAGCTCTTCTCCAAAGGTAAAATATGTGTCGAAGAAATTTGTATCAATCTTTCTTGGATTCCGAGCTCCCTGGCTTCTAAGAGCTGAGGGTACACAATTTGTTCTCTGGCCCATACTGCAGGTACAAAACCAAGGAAATACAACACAGTTACACATTGATTGTAGTTGGACACCTATGAGAAGTAGCGCATTGAATAAATTCAAATTTTGTCTTCATATATTTAACTATTTTTAACATTTTCACATGTTGAACTAATAGAAAAACATTTTCACATGTTTGTTTTCACATGTTAAACTAATAGAAAGCAAAATAATTAACAAATAGATGCGATGTGCCACTTTCAGAGATTGAGGTTTCTATAATTATTATTAAGATAGTTGAGAAATAAAACAAAGTACACAAATACCACCGTCTTATAACGAGCATAGCATACAGCTGTCATTTACTTCCACAAAAGTCTTCTTTGTAAGTAAGTAGAGAAATAAATAAGTAAACAACAACTGTATTTATGCTGTGTTGGCTATGAGTTGGTAGTGCGTATGTCCTTATTGTTACCTTTGTCTCAAGGTTTTGAATTATAATTGTGCATCAACTCACCTGCGCCTTGGCCCCTACTTTGGTAAGTTTTTGTTTGCTCACGTCCATCATGTTAGGTTTTCAGGCATTTTAAGCGTAAAGATTCCATTATCAGGCATCCCAAACACAATGCAGTTGTCTTTAAAAGTTCCCCCACGTCTCGACGCAAAACAAACAACGTTTTGACTGCCGAGCTCGACAGTCAAAACGTCGCCGAGCGCGTTGACAATCTGATCCTTCTGGTATCTTGGTCTTTTTTTTTTTGTAGATGTTTACTGTTAAGAAAAGGTTCCAACGTCGCTGGAGCATAGACGAGTGACATGCGGGCAGGTAGAGTGATTTTGTACGTAAAAAAAAACAACTTAACTCAATATTTTAAATTTTCGGAAACTTTTAATTAGTTGCAGTAGGTACTAATTGTATTGCAGCGCATGTCACTGCACAAAAAAGTAATTGAAGCGTTAAAAAGTGTCAATAGAAGGTAATGGATTACAAATAATCAGTTATTTGTAACTCGTTAAGTACAATCATGGTATTTGGTATACTGCACAAGGCCGTGTAGGTGCTGGCTATACAAATCAGGGTCCTTTAGGTTGGTGTGAATACCTTTACAATTACCACCCTGCTTCGAAGCCTAACGAGTTCAATTGAGTGTTTGAAGAACACGGTTTTGATTTCCTTAAGTACTGATTTTATTGGTAATTTATATATCCTAATTTTATACAGACGTTCAAAGGCACCTGGTGCCCGGTAGGAAGGTATATAGCAAACAATTTAACCAGCATGTAAAATGTTTAATATATAAAGATGTTTTGTGAAACGAGATCTAACATAAAGATGGTATACTGACTGACTGACTCGCACTAAACAATGATTGGTATCAAACGATGTGTTTACAAAAGCACGTTCTTCAGCTAGCAATCGTAGGTAAATGATAACAGCGACGTCGACAATATTCAAGAGGGTGATCATAAGCGGTAGGAATCTGGCAGGTAACGCTGTCATACCGTCATTTTCTAACACAAGGTGCTTTTTATAACGCGAATAATCAAAGCATGTTACGTGGTAACGTGTTAAAAGCAAAATATCGCAGCAGTTGCCTGGTTACCAAAAAAGTACAAAATGTTATGTAACAAATCCTCTTGAAATTCGTTGGTTAGAAGTCTGAGGCTTACGTGAAATCAATCAGGCATTTGTAAGACTACCCGAATGATAAAAGGCCGTGGAATCTTTTCGTTAACTTACCGCACTGTGTCCATTCCACCACCAAACAGATAAGAAGAGCCAGGCTTCTCATAGATCTTGTGGATATCGCTCCGAAAGAAAGAGCTAAAATATGAAGGACACAACAGATCGCGCAGTAAAAGGCCAATGAGTGGTTGCTGTGAAATGCGATTGGTAAGGTCACATAACATGAGTTTTCCTACACAATAGTGCTTATTGCAACATGGGCTTCCAAACTCACTGCAGCTTGTGGGCCACCTGGTTATCCAAAGCGTTCGACAATGCAGGTCGAACGCATGTTAAATCGCCTGTGTTCACTTCCACCGCGAGGGGGCGAAATGCAATCGCCCATGCAAGCGGCCTTCCACCGCTGATAAAAGGCCGGCGCAGCGAGTCCGCGAGGGTTTTTTGGGGATCGCGGCGCGTGACGTTAAATGTCAATACACGACCCGTGTTATTCAATTCCTTCATTGTGTCCTTCTCCGAGGCGGGTAGTAGCAAGGGATATCATAGAAGCTATAATTCGCCTCTAGAGCCCAGCAGCAAGCTCGGGGAGGCACGTTATGATCTAAATAGTTGCTTCAAAACCTCTTTTTCTTCTAAGAAACATAGTAGAACCTAACCGTTGCGCAGAAAAAACGCTCTTCGAAACCGTATCTCTAAACCTATGAAAATAACCGGTACCCGATATTTTATATTGGTTTGGCAAAAATATTACCAAAAAGAAATTGTAATCTCGAGGTGGGATTTTAAACGGCCATGGACGCAATTTGTACATGGCATCGGCGAGTGAAACTTCCGGTTGTAAATTCAAGAAAAATGTAGATTTTAACGGCCAGCTAAATTGAACATTCACATTTGGTCGACTTGCAATAGACACAGTAGGTCTTAGTTTGCTAATTATGTTCCATACCTGTTTAGTTTGCATCATTTTTCAGGGTATGAATTGCAAGTTATAACACAGAGATGATAAGCCAACCTTGAACTCTCAACTACCAACGTTATCGACGCGAAGTGTAAAAAATCGAAGTAAATTTACAATATTGGAGTTCTCGCGAACATTAAAACCTGTCATTCGATGACGAAAGTTTACACCTTGCAATACGATTAAAAAACACAAAAGTCACCGGTACAATGTTACTAAAATTTGAGGTCGTTCTTGGCAATATACTATAAGCACTTTTTATCATTGTTGAAAGCCGTTTCGCGTATACCTCCCAGAAAGTTGTCCACTCGCCAGGATATGCTGGTTTCCATTTTTCCAATTTCCTCCTCCCCTCCACCGTTCGCACTGCTGAAGTGAAAAGAGCGGAGGAAGTTGTGAGAGACGCTGGTCCTGCTTTCGTTACCAGCAACAAATTATGGCGCAAGTATTGCGTACTTTCGCTGGCAACAGTGGCGAAGAACGTTTCGCGTGTTCCGCTTTCCTTCTACTGCAACATACTATAATTGGCGTGACGAGGATAACTTAACGAAATAAAATTACCGACACGCCACTAACAGCAGAAACAACCGGTGTCGGCGGCAACATGTTAAAAGTACCGGCGTTACTACTTTTTCCCACAACGAAGTAACGTACTCGGTACTTATGTTACTTATTTCGAGTAATTGGGAACGTAGATATGATACGCGTTACATCTTGTTCGCAAGACATCAAAAGTTACACTTTATTTTTTTCGTGCGCCAAGTCATTTGGTTTTCGTATTCATCTTAGATACCATCAAATTTTTTCCACTCTTAGTGGAACCAAGATGAACAAAATCTGGCTGAAACCTTGCAAATGCTAAGCTTATAAACATTAAGATTTCGAATGCAGATATATATATATATATATATATATATATATATATATATATATATATATATATATATTCTTTTTTTAATATTGCACTTACGCATATTTGTGTCGTAAAAACAGTAGAATAGTTAATTTATAAAAAAAAAGTACAGCAAACGTAATGTGTTCTGCATTTTAAAGTTACTGGCAACGGTAACGCGTTTCTTTTATTTTGAATACCGTAGGTCTATAACCCGTTCCATTTATTTTCCACTAACGAGTAACATATTTCGGTCATTTTTTTCCGCTACCACTTACATTTCAGCACATATTGCGCTTGGTCCGCTCGTTTGTTTCCTCTACATGTACGTTGTTTCTTTACACTGCTATCATTTCCAGTCAAGCAACTGAGTAGTTAAAAGGAATAAACTCTAACCAAAGTCCAGAAAAAGTACATCCTAACGTTTCGAAACGCATTCCCTTTTTTATCAGGGGTGACCTAATAGCACGGGGACGCAACAGCTTTCTTCTTCTAGATCACATGGCGAGCAAATCTGCCAAATTATTACACCAGGAAACGAAGAAAAAAAAGGTATATTGACGGGCAAAAAGGAGAAAAAAAGCTGTCGCGTCCCCGTGCTAGCGTCACCCCTGAAAAAGAAACGGAATGCGTTTCGAAACGTTGGGCCGTACTTTTTGGGGGCTTTGGTTGGAGTTTATTCTTTTTAACTATATAGCGTTTCCCAATCAGACACATGCTTGCCAAATATGTTTACGTTCCAGGCTTCGCCAATGACTTTGGACAGGAAAGAGCAGCTGGCGAAACGGTATCTAAGCATCACTCGGATAATTCTATCTACGAGTCTCACGTCGAGTTTACGAGGGCCTGCAGGGCACTCGTAAGCCTCCGTCTCAAGTGCCTAGTCCAAATCGCAAGGACACAGGGTCCTAACGCATGCGGAGCACCATTTGTAAAGTGCCCGCATTCACGACTGACAGACCACCCTCAGGAGAAAGGAGCTCAACTTCTTCTTCGCACGTCGGCAGCTTGAACACCTGGTCCCAAACGTGTTCCCGTCTTTGGAGCCTTTCACCGCAAGCGTCTCCTTCACTAACATGGACAAACGACGGGCATCTCAGGAAGGGAAGCTTTTGAGGCTGCGGAAAAGAGAAGCACCGCGAGGCACAGACACCGCCGGTTTCGTCCAGAACCTCTCCTCGAAGCAGCTATCCCTGTGCAAGATTGGGGTCTCGGCAAAAGAAAAAACAAATACACAGTTTTTCATGACTACTTCGCGCCCACCACTGCCAAGAATGGTCGTGGCTGTGGAAGAAATCATCGCCCGCCTGGATCCTAGCGTTCGGCCTGCTTTCAAACCTCCCGCAACCTCAGCGACACAATCTATCAAGAGATGAGACTGCACGTTTCGTAGACTTCGCGAGAATGCAGCGATCGTGATCCTACCGGCAGACAAAGTAAAATTGACCGTCGTACTAAACCGGAGGCGTACGATTGCAATGTACGGGGGCTTTCTTGACAGTCCCGCGTACAAAACCTCAGGAAATACCCTACGGCACAACTTCAGAGGAACTTGAACAAGATGCTGGCAGAAAATTTTAATGTATATCCGGAATCAAGAAACCTTAACCTGAGGCTTATCTGCAGAAATGGCTCTGCTTCAAGCATCTACGAGCTCCCCAAGATCCACAAGCCTAAAGTCGTCCTAAGACCTATCGTAGACTTCACGACCTCGCCACTCCGGGAACATTTGATCTACCTGCACCGTACACTGGCGCCCCTCGTTAATAACAGGTCGCCGCATGTACAAAACGCCAGCCACTTTGTAGAGCTCGCCTTGCCAGTAACACTCGGTGAGGTAAAAGCATTTTGTCTTTTCATGTGGTGTCACAAAGACGCCCTTGAGAAAGACGAAAACTTGAGCTTTAGGACCAACTTCACTGTAGACAAGTGATGCCGCCTGTGCGTTTTGCCTCAGCAGCACACACTTATCTTCAAAAGTGAGCTTTTGAAGCAGGTCAGCGGAACGGCAATGGGTGCTTCTATATCGGTCACCACGACAAAACGTAACAATGGAAACAATAGAACGGCTAGCGCTACGATCTTTTATCAGCAGACCGACAGTTTTTATGCCCTAGAAGAAAGCTAGTGTCAGCGATTTCCTTGCGCATTTCAACTCCATCGAGCCGACCAAAAAGTTCACAGTATAGTACGAGAGAGATAACACCTTGCCGTTTCTCGGCGAGCTCGCAGTAGGGCAAGGGGAAGGACTACAGTTCACAGTGTACCGGAAACCTACTCACACCGGGCGCTACCTTCACTTTGTCTCGAACCACCGAACGAGTCACAAGGCGTCGGTGGTTTCAACGCTGGTATCCAGAGCAAGAACTACCTGCTCATCAGAGGCCGATCGAAGAAAGGAGAAGCAGACTATTTTGGCCGACCTTAGAAAAAGCCGCTATACCCTATTGGAAAATTTCGATGATGGAAAGATGATGGAAAAGGCTCATACAAGCGTAACCGTAATATGGGACATCCTATACAAGCGAAACCTCGGCTCCAGTATAGTGGATTAAGGCGGAATGATACAGGTAGGCGGAACCATACAAGCGTGTCGTATTATGGGACATCCTATACCAGCGTAGTGGATTATGGCGGAACCATGGAGGCGGACGGAACCATACATGCGTAACGTAATATGGGACATCCTATACCAGCGAAAAGGCGATACCAGCATGGTGGAGCCGTATGGCTCCACCATGTTGGTTTCGCCTTGTCACTGTTGTACAGGGCGATTTAGTTTTAAGCTTTACGTATATGTTTAGAAAGGTCGTGAAAGCTAAATTAATGCGGTTTGTGCAGGCGAGTTATACGGCCAGGTGTACATAGTATAGGGACCTAATCGTAACAATCAGTCAGATAATTAAATACAATTTGTCAATTAACTTTTTAATTAGTGAAAATGAAAATATGGTTTCAATTAGAAACTTGCTGAGTCATTGAAAACCACAAAATCAACTCTTTCTAGAAGGATATAATGCAGGGGTAGCATTTTACGCATTCTGTAAAAACGCTTTATTTGGACGAGTTTCTAGGTCTCAGTTTCTTATCAGAGCTCATATGTCTGCGCCCACACTCCTGTTCCCCAGGGGCTTAGACGCGCAACACATGTGCGCCTTGCTTCCCTCCATCCTACGAGGGAGGCGAGGGGTCGGCTTCGCACTGCGGCCACCGGGCAGCAGGACCGCAGGTGCAAAGATGCGCTCTGGTAAGAAAC